GCAACAGGGATGGACCTAGACATGATCATACTAAGTGAATTAAGTCAGACAAAGACAAACAGTATATGATATCACTTATATGTGGAATCTAAAAACTAATACACATGAACTTATTTACAAAACAGAGACAGACTCACAGACATAGAAAACAAACTTATGGTTCCCAAAGGGGAAAGGGCGGGAGAAGGTTCTGGAAGCTGTTCCTGAGAGACTCTTCCTCCTACCTGTTCCTCGTCCTTCCAGTGATCCCGCACTCCGCTTAGCGCCTCGAAATCATGATTAGCTGCCTAAGGAGGAAGATTCTGTAGTCTGTAGTCGAACCCTCATTGACACACTCTTCTTGACAGAGACCCCTTCTGGACCCCTCAAAGTTCCAGAACATTCTGTCATCTCCCGGGACTCTGTCTGGGTGGCTCATGGGACTCATTTTGAATTTGCCACAGTGAGCTCCCAGGCACGCAAATCTGTGACTCAGAGAAGAGTGATGTTCACTCTTTCGTTCCCAAAGGCTGTGGTGAGAGCGGGGTGGGCTGCTCTCAAGGTTACTTGATTTTTATAAGATGGTGCAACAGGATCTTCCATGCAGCCAACTGTAAGGAAGCCGCTCCTGCCCTGAGTCACTTGGCTGTCTTTGAAGATGAGCTGCACTTTAAATGGATGTCAGGCCTGCAAACCAGTCCATCTGGACCATTTTTCTAGGTTCCACATATATGCGTTATGCGTTAATAACACCACATATATGCGTTATGCGTATATGCGTTAATATACGATATTTGTTTTTCTCTTTCTGACTTACTTCACTCTTTATGACAGTCTCTAGATCCATCCACGTCTCTACAAATGACCCAATTTCGTTCCTTTTCATGGCTGAGTAATACAGAGACATAGATGTAGAGAACAAACGTATGGACACCAAGGGGGGAAAGTGGGGGGAGCTGGTGGAGGGATGAACTGGGAGATTGGGATTGACATGTAGACACTAATATGTATAAAATGGATAGCTAATAATAACCTGCTGTATAAAAAATAAAATAAAATAAAATTCAAAAATTCGAAAAATAAATGGATGTCAGGGAGTGGCATTTTGAAGTCACTGGGTCCATTACGCACGTAGCAGAAGTTTGGCCAAGTAATCAATGTTTACGACGGAGTCCTACAGGGAGGGCAGTCACCATCCTCGGTGCTCCAGCCACTGCTTCTCAGCTCGGTGTGCATTTTATATATATATATAAATGTATGTGGGTATGTGGGTATGTACAGAGTGCATATGAATATATATATATATATGTCCATTATGGACTGAATTGTGTTCCCCCCAAACTCACATGTTGAAGCCTTAACCCACAATGTGATAAAATTTGGAGACAAGGCCTTTAAAGAGGTAATTAAGGTTAAGTGAGGCCATAAGTGTGGAGCCCTAAGCCAATAGGATTGGTGTCCTTATGAGAAGAGAGAGAGACACCAGGGCTGTACACACAGAGGAAAGCCCACGTGAGGCCACAGCGAGAAGACAGCCATCTACAAACCGAGGAGACAGGTCTCATCAGAAACCAATCCTGCTGGCACCTTCATCTTGGACTTCCAGCCTCCAGAACTGTGAGAAAATAAATCCCTGTTGTTTAACTCACCCAGTCTGTGGTATTTTGTTAAGGCAGCCCAAGCAGACAAATATAATACACACACACACACACACACACACACACACACACACACACACACACACACAAGTGTCCTGAGAGGGCAAAAGCAATGTCATCTCAAGAACAATAAGCACATCCAGTCCCAGTGAGACAGGCTGGGACCTGGGACCCTTTACTGAAGAGCTTGCACCTGGACAAACATCTCCTTGAGCAACAAAATACAAAGACACTTTAAGGGACCAAAAATAACTGCACGCTTGTGCAGTTGGGGCAGAGTATGAACAATAAGATACAAAAAGGCCAAAATTCAACTGCCACTTCTGAGGTGCTGGGGGCAAAAGCAGGGTTTCACGCATGACCCCTGCACACAGCACCGCCAAGGGGGTGGGCACACCACCCTAAGCCACCCTTCCGGTTCGACCCACCAATCTGCTGGGACCTATGTCCCAGTAAAGCCTCGCCTGAATTTCTTGTCTGGCTTCTTGTTGATTTCTATCGCTTCAAGAGTCCCAGAACCCAGACCAGTAACACCAGGACTAGATCTAGTCCCGTAGCTCGGGCTCCTTCAACTTTCTGGAGCTCAGAGTCCGCACATTCAGAGTCACAGCACTTCATGCACATCCTCTCTTTTGTTTTTAAACTTTTTAATATGGAACATATTAAACCCATGCAGAAATAGAGAGTCTAGTATAATAATCCCCCATATACCCATCACCAACTTCAAAAATTATCAGCTCATGGCTCTTCTCGTTTCATCTACATCCCCACCCTACCACCCAAAACCCCGATACTTTGAAGCAAGTTCCAGACATATTATTTCATCTATAAATATTTCAAGATCTCTAGAAGGCAAGGACTAGACCCACCGACACACACACTCTTTGTTTTCCTCTGAAAGATTTCTTTCTATGCATCCCATTCTCCCTTAGACATGGAGGAAGAACTCAGTACCTTCTGGGTTTTCCCAGCGGGTGGGGATGACGGCCAAGTGCAGGCTGGAGGATCAGGGACGGAAGGTGGGGCAGACAGAGGGAAAGCCTCAAATGCCCTGCTGAGGTTCACAGCACAAAACCGCAATCATGGTGTCCACTGAAAGAAAAACACACATGGTAAAAGTTGTGAGTTAAGTTTTTTTTCTTTCTTGGTTTTTGAAATGATTTTATTTTTTTAAATAGATCTTTATTGGAGTATAATTGCTTCACAATACTGTGTTAGTTTCTGCTGTACAACAAAGTGAATCAGCCGTATGCATACATATATCCCCATATCCCCTCCCTCTTGCGTCTCCCTCCCACCCTCCCTGTCCCACCCCTCTAGGTGGTCACAAAGCACCAGCGGATCTCCCTGTGCTATGCGGCCGCTTCCTACTAGCTATCTATTTTACATTTGGTAGTGTACATATGTCCATGCCACTCTCTCACTTCGTCCCAGCTTACCCTTCCCCCTCCCCATGTCCTCAAGTCCATTCTCTATGTCTATGTCTTTATCCCTGCCCTGCCACTAGGTTCATCTCAATATCAAAAAAACAAACAACCCAATCCCAAAATAGGCAGAAGACCTAAATAGACATTTCACCAAAGATGACATACAGATGGCCAAGAGGCACATGAAAAGATGCTCAACATCACTAATCATTAGAGAAATGCAAATCAAAACTACAATGAGGTATCACCTCACACCAGTCAGAATGGCCATTATCGAAAAATCCAGAAACAGTAAATGCTGGAGAGGGTGTGGTGAAAAGGGAACCCTCCTGCACTGTTGGTGGGAATGCAAAATGATACAACCACTATGGAGAACAGTATGGAGGTTCCTTAAAAATCTAAAAATAGAATTACCATATGACACAGCAGTCCCACTACTGGGCATATATTCTGAGAAAACCGTAATTCAAAAAGAGACGTGAGTAAAGTTTTATTTGGGGACCTTATTGAGGACCATAGCCTGGGAGACAACTTCTCAGATAGCTCTAAGGAACTGCTCAGAAGAGATAAGGCAGAGCCAGGATATACATGAACTTTTTTGCTGGGAAAAACATGTAGTCAAGCATCAAAAGATTACTGCTAAGCACAAAGAACAGACATCTCAAGTTAATGATTTTTAGGGCTTTTCTCTGTACAAGAAGATGCAAGAATCTGGGGTCATTAGACGTTTTTCCTTAAATATGCATCTTAACTAGCTAAAAGGTCAGTAAATCCAACGCACAGAATGCTTCCTGGTTTTCTCCACCCTGAATTCCCCTCAGGGCACACTGGTGGTGGGCAAGTGCAGTGGCTAACAGGCTTGACCCTATAGAACTGGAACAGCAGGCAGCACTTTTTTCTTTACAGTGGTTTCTGGCATTGCATTTTTGTGACTTTTCTGTTTCGTTGTAACCTTGACTCAGTACCTATACCATTTTGAGCCTGAAAATGCACCCCCAGCCCCTCAGTCTAAGTTACCTTCTTTTGTCAATAGAAATCTACTTTTACCTCCTTAAGAAAAAATTTCACTCTCAAGTGCAAGTCTCTGGAGCGGAGTGTTCAGGGTTAAGGACCAAGCCCTCAGGAAGGAAGCCTCCTGCCCTTGGGGAGGACACGTCCCCACTCTCGGCTGGAGGAAAGCGCGGCCCCGCAAGGACTGTTTCTCCGTATGTAAATCCAGGAGGACGCACAGAAACTAAGTTGCGTCGTTTTAAGTTTTTACCTCTGAAATGCTTAGTGAGGAAAACAAAGGAAAACACTTTTCAGGAGTGAAAAATCCCAACCAAATGGTCCATTCCCCCGTGAGGGGTGTCCCTTTGCCCTCCTGCGGTTCAATTTCTGCCCATCCAACCCGTGGGAAAGCGAGAGACGTCGCCCGCAGGCTCAGAACTGCACGACTTGGTTTAACACGGAAAAGTGAATCAGCAGCGGTCAGATCACGCAAAGGCCAGCGTTGACCTGCCTCTTGGGCAAGAGGCGGACCCCGGGGCGGAGGGAGAAGGCCTGGGGAGGGGTCGGGGCGACGTGGGGGACAGACGACTGGGAGGGAAGAGGAGCGGACCCCGACCGTCTGGACCCGAGAGGGGCGGCTCCAGGCGGAGCGCTCCCGGGGATGGGCCGGGCTAGCGGGGAGGGGCGGAGCGACTGCGGGGACGGGGCGGACCTGGAGAGGCTTCGGGGCGAGACCGGCGCCGCGCGGACAAAGGGGCGGGAGAAGGGGCCCTGGGCGGGGTTCTGGGCGGAGATCGGGGCGGGGGGGCGGACCCCGACTGGGCGGCCCGGAGAGCGGACAAGGGAAGGCGGAAGGACCGGGCGAGCCCGGCGGCTGAGTGCTGAGCGGCTCCCCTTCGCGCGGCGGCCGGATCCTCAGTCTGGGAGTCCCAGCCTCTCCGGCGCCATGGAGACGCGGCTGCTGTGGTTCTGCAACTGGAGCGTGCTGGGCGTGTGCGCGACGCTCAAGCTGCCGCAGATCTTCGCCGTGCTGGGGGCGCGCAGCGCGCGGGGCATCAGCCTCCCGAGCCTACTTCTGGAGCTGGCTGGGTAAGGCCGGGGCCATCTGGAGCCGACGGGAGCGCGGGAGACCCTCGACTCTAATACAGTAGGGGCGGGGGAAGCGGAGTCGAAAGCGCGGGCCTCTCACTTCCCCTCCGAATTTGCTGCTTCCCCCCCGAATTTGCTGCTTCCCCCAGCCTTGCGCGATAACGAAAGACGGCGCACGCCCATTTTACAGATGAGAAAACCGACACTCAAGGAAATCATCACTCCGCCCATTAGTGACAAAACTAACCATCCAGCTTTGAGCAAGGCCGCTTGCACGTCGAGGCTCTCTCATCTGCATCCTCCCTAAAGCCACCCCCCACCATCCCCGTCTCCGTTCTCGGGTCTCGGTTTCCTCGCTTGTAAAATGAGGGGTTGGACCCTCTGGCTTTTAAAAGTTACACCTTTGGGGCTTCCCTGGCGGCGCAGTGGTTGAGAGTCCGCCTGCCGTTGGGCAAAAATGAAATGATCTAGGCATTGATGGGTATGAACAGAAACTCACACTGCTGTTTTATTATTATCGACTCTGCCATTCATAAAGATCAGAATGACTGTGACTCTCAAAGTCCGAGAGGAGAGGAACAATCATTGAACAACCTTAAACAAATATTAGGACAGCGAAGCGGGTGGTGTCGTATAAAGAAGTACAAATGCCAACAATGGAAATTCTGTTCAACTGCCAATCATAAAAAAAAAAAAAAAAAAAAAAAAAAAAGTTACACCTTTGGGTGCGGGGGGGCGCGGGGTGTCAGAGAACGTAGAGCTTTTTGGAGGGAGAGGAGGACTTGACCTGGACTTGGGCTTTAACTGGCACTTGAAAAGCGGGAGCCGAGACTGCTCCAAGGGCCGGTTTTTCTATCGGAATCGGGAATGGGTGCCCTGATCCAGTATTTAAAACCCTGAACGTGACGGATGTTAACTAGACTTATTGTGGTGATCATTTTACAATAGGTACAAATATTGAAACATTATGTTGTACACCTGAAACTAATATAATCTTGTATGTGAAATATACCTCAATTTAAAAAAAATTTAAAAGTACTCATCTAAATAAGCAAAGTAATAATAATAATAAAGACCTGAACGGTGAAAAGCAGAGTTGTGAGACTTGGTGGGGAAGACGTGAACCCAGCAGTCTAGCTCCCTGCAAGGCCGGGCCCCCTCCCCTCTGCTCCTCGCCAGCCCGGGGACCCCTGTTACCCTCCGGCGGCTCTGAGGGCCGGTCCTCAGCAGAAGCAGTCCTCGGAGGGGCAGTGGATCCCGGTTTCCCGGGCCAGCAGGAAGGCAGGGGGGAGAGAGGGAGAAACAGGAGACCTCCAGGGCACAAGGGGTGAGGGGCCACCCTTGGACCTGCGGGGTCCCACCCGGGACACCCCCATCTGAGGGGCCAACCGTAGGATGTGTTTGAGCCACAGGCCCCTTGGGGAAGCACATCCTGCCTCAGAGCCACCCCAGTTCTCTGAGGAAAACAGATAATTACTGGGAGGAGAAGTTCCCCATTCGGGGCGGGGGAGGCCCTGATCTGTACCCCAGGAGGGTAGCCACCTTGGCGTCCTCAGGCAGGAGAGCAGGTAGCCATGTAGAGAAAGGGACCCTCCAGGCACGGGGCTTGTGATCAGAAGCCTGGAGTCTGGACTGGAAGCAGTGAGGCCAGAGAAAGAGGCAGAAGACATGACCTTAGGTAACATGTTTAAAGCATCCGTGTGTGCAGATACAGAGCACGTTGTCCCCATTTCACAGATGGGGAAGCTGAGGCCCCAGAGGTTAGTAACAGCCGGGGATTGTGAGCCCAGCACCCTAGCCCTGGAGTCTGCACTCCACTTACGGCTCCACACTCAGCAGGTGATGCCTGCGGGACCAGGCCTGGCAGCCTCGGGAGGGTGGCTCAGCAGGCGGTGGAGGGGCAAGCGCTGGCTGGGGTCATCTGGAGTGCCGCCTGGGTGAGGGCATGGGGCTTTGTTAACACCACGTCCTGGCTTGGAAGGTGTGAGCCATTAAGTCCAAGTGGTCTGTGGAGGTTCTGGCTCACCCTGGGGGAGCAGGGGGCCTGAGGGGTCCTCACAGCCCGGGTGTGGGGATGGAGACAGGCCCTGAGGGGACAGTGAGGGCGTTTAGGTTCTGAGGGAGTCGGCTGGCCAGGGTGTGAGCTGGGGAGGCAGGAAGCTGGGGCCTCTTCTTCTGAGAGGAATGGAACTCTGGGGTCTGTGTCTCCCACCCCTCCAAGCCAAAGCCTCTCCAGAGCTCGAATTTCCTTGAGGAACTGAAGAGCTGTCCCTTCTGTCCCCACCGCCAGCCTGGGCAACACTCTGGGAGGCCACCAGACTCATCTAGGGACGTCCTTCGTGTTCAAAACATGGCCTCCCCAGCTCGCTGCTGGGCCCTACATGCTGAGTCACTTAGAAGCCCTGCCCAGGAACCCCACCCAGGGATGGCTCTCAGCCCCCCTCAGATATCTTTCTCGGCCTGTGCGGCTTCTTGGGTGCGACCTTCTGAGGGATCTGCCTGGGGCCTCGAAAGAGCCCAGCCTTAGAGACAGGCAGGCCCGGGTCCAGAAAGCCCTGTCTCTTCTCATCCTGGTCAGTGGTTCTGTAAAATTCATAAAATTTGTCTGTAACTGACCATCCAAGGGACTTGACAGACACCAGTGCCCAGCTTCAGAAATCAGGGAGATGATTAAAAATTGATATTTCATCCTTCTTACTCTGTACCTCCCTCCTTGACATTTGCAGACTCCCGCCACCAGTTGTAGGGTTTTGCAAATGAACCTGCTCTCCTGGGTGGCGGCCAGGCCTCCCGGCCGTGGGTCAGGTTGGTCCGAGCTCAGATGCACCCTCCCTCTACCCAGGTTTCTGGTCTTTCTCCGGTACCAGTGTTACTACGAGTACCCACTGCTGACCTACCTGGAGTACCCCATCCTCGTCGCACAAGGTAAGCGACCCCCCTGTGCCCAGCCCCGGCCCTCAAGGCCCCTCCTTCTTCTGATTCGGAGCCTTTCTTTTCCAGATCTCATCCTCCTGCTGTGTGTCTTCCATTTCAAGGGGGATGTGAAACGGGCAGCACCATACATCGTCCTGTATCCTTTCAGCATCTGAGAATCCGAGATGGAACTGGGGGTGTTCCTTGCTAACAGGATGTTATTAAGCAGGGTCCTTTACCAGATACGTATTCTTTTGGTGTAACTAAAAAAAAAAAAAAAAAATCCGAGATGGAACTGGGGGTGTTCCTTGCTAACAGGATGTTATTAAGCAGGGTCCTTTACCAGATACGTATTCTTTTGGTGTAAAAAAAAAAAAAAAAAAAAAAAAATCCCCAGTGCAAGATTCCACTTGAGCAAGTATCTCCACAGCCTAGAGATGCTCTAGAACAGTCCCTGCCCAGGGGCCACCCCTCTGAGACCAGGGAGCCCCATGGTGCCCTGACCCACCAGGTAGACTTCGTACCTCACTGCTGAACTGCAGAAGCACTCCTGCTAAGAGCGACATTGTCCAAATGTATTCTTTAGGGGAAGGGAGATATTTCTTCCTTCCCCCCAAATGTCCCCATGTGATAACGAGCATGTCTGGCGTGTAACACGCTGCCACTAACACACTTGGTCATCCTAGCTTCTTACTGCCTGTTGGTGGGTCTGGGCTCCTGATGGCTGGCTCAAAGTGAAAGTCAAGACATTAGGAAGGTCTCCGTGGATTCTGGTCAGTCACACAGACCTATCCCTGCTCACGTCACTCAGCATCTTCTGTGAACGAGGGCCAGCCTTCCGTCTTCACCCTCTTTATAAAAACTCTTTTATTCTCTCGTTGAACTTCACTCTCCTTCAAAGGCCAAGAAGGCCTTTTAAATGGCAGCCAGTTAATCCTGCCCCATCTGTGAAATGATCTGAGCTGTTTATTTATATGTCTTCAGGGTGGAGGAAAGAGGGAGGGGACGGCCAGGCCCCATCTGCGTTGAGCCTGTGAGGAGGTGGGCGTGGAGTGGTGAGAACTCCCAGTGCCACTGCCGTCGGGGCGGCCTTGGGCTCCGGCCTCTCAGCGGCAGTTGCCCCATCTGTGAAGAGGGATCATAGTGCCTCTACCTTGTAGGGTTGTTTCCAGAACGAAAATACCAGGAGCACAGGACAAGCTGAGGAGGCGGCAGGGTCGTGGTGGCTCTCGTGCTAAAAGCCTGTCCGCAGAGGGAGGCTGGGTGCGCACTGAGTCCTGACCCTCTGCTGTTCAATGGAGTTGTAAGCCCCCTGACTCAGTTGCCCTCTGCAAAAAAAGAGGGATCGTGTGGCTCTACTGCCCCTCAACACTTCAAGGTCAGCCCCAGCTGGTTAAAGCTTTTTGAAAACAGAGTACTTTGAAGAAATGAAAAGCATTGTGCGATTTACTTTTTTTTTTTTTTTTGCGGTACGCGGGCCTCTCACTGCTGTGGCCTCTCCCGCCGCGGAGCACAGGCTCCGGACGCGCAGGCTCAGCGGCCATGGCCCACGGGTCCAGCCGCTCCGCGGCATGTGGGATCTTCCCAGACCGGGGCACGAACCCGCGTCCCCTGCATCGGCAGGCGGACCCCCAACCACTGCGCCACCAGGGAAGCCCCGCGATTTACTTTTTAAATAAAATGCAACAGCTTATCTTTGTGCAAATGGTGAGGGTGTAGATTAGAAAACTTGGGTACTGACGGCAACTCTGTAGTACCAGCAAGATGTTTTATGACCTCCTTCTGCCAGTTGTGACTTACAGAGAGCCGATAAGCAGGGCAGCCATATTAACAATGCATTTCTTTTTAAAGTAATAGTACGTCCCAGATATTACACGGGACGTACTTGTGCTAAAAAAGTATTTGTTGTTGATGTGAAATTCAAATTTAACTGGGTGTCCTGTATTTTTATTTGCGCAATCTGGCCACCCTACAAATGAGTCATCTCTAGGATCTCAATTGCTGCTATACTACTGCTGAAGTTTTGTAAAATGTATAGTTGGAATGAATGGAATGAGGTGCAGTGGTACAAAATTGGGCAACATTAGTTTAAGACTTGAATTAGAGAGTGTTCAAAAAGCAAGATTCCATCCACCTAGATTCAGGCTGCCTTTCTGGTGTTGACTAGTTTCTAGTTCTACTGACTTTGAGCACAGGGCATTGTCTATTTCGATCTCTTCATTTAAATAATGTTATTAATTATAATCACAGCTGCCTGTTGGGTCCCTACGATGTGCCGCAAAGCCACGAGAAGGTAGATAGGGCAAGGAATGTTAAGTCAATTTTGCAGATAAGCAAACCAAGGCCCAGAGAAGGAAAATGACTTGCCCAAGCTCACAGCAGAGGCTCCTGGCCATCCCCTCCCTGGCCTGGCCACCACCTCCCTGTGTTTGTTTCTGCTTCTCTAGCCGGGCTGTCTTCCTGCAGCATCAGTGATCTTGATGAAAAGCTGGTATCATTCCTCCCATCTCCTAGCATCGCTCACCCCAGCCGTGTCATTTTTACACTGGAGTTAGTGGGAAAGAGAAAATCAGTAAACAGCTTCACGTGACACCAGTTTTGCAGAAGACACCTGCTTTATCATTTGAACCTAAGTGCTTCACTGTTGACATTACGTTGGAGAGTTCTGCATGGTCAGGAATTAAACCGGCAGTTAAAATCATCAGGGACGTTCCCAGCCCTAGGATGGGTCCGAGAACACAAGGTTCTTTGTAATTTTCTTCCAGAATCTGCTTCTGTGCTTTTGAACTCCTAGAAGGTGTTCACTTGGATCATTGTTGTCTTTTCCGAATCTGACGAGGTCTAGCAGAGCTGTTCCCAGTTCCACACTTAGCTTAGGTGTGTAACCTCTCTGGTCTCGGTTTGTTTCCACACGCACGGGGTTGGGAGGGGAGTGGAGCTGCCGGCCAAGCCACTGCTGTGTCCCTTAGCACATGGTAAGCTGTGTGTCTGCTTGGTTCATCCTCACCCTGCAGAAGTGGATCATAGATCTGGCCATGGTGAGTAAATCGCCCATGGAGATGAAAGTGTGTTCACAGCAGTCTGTCTGCCTCTTCTCTCCACGCCACCTGCCCTGCAAAAAACTTTATAGATCAAATGTTCAACCCGCTCATTTTTCAGCTGTACCAAAGGATGGTGGGATGAAAGCCCAGTGCTATCCAAATATTAAAAACATTATTCTCACTTAAATGTACGGCACAGTTTTTTTACTTCCCTTTTTTTGGGGCCCTAGAGAACCGGATTGGGATTGGGTAGGTAGCAGCAGGATGAAGAACTGAGCATAAATTAAAGAGTTTCAGGTTATTATCAGGTAAATAATTACATATGGGCCACGTACTCATTATTTTTCTAACTTCTCCCCGGCACTTTTTTTTTCTTCCTTGGAAAAGGGTAAGCCCTATACTCTTTTTCCTTGCTTGGTTAAGGGCCAAAAGTTCCCTGCTGTGAGAACAGGATTCTGGCCGTGGGTCAGGAAGCGTTTGACCAAATGGTGGCTGACGTGAACTTTTCCACCCAATGGGAAAAGAAGCAGAACTAATCGGTGGTCACTGCCTGCCACACCCAGACTCCTGAACTTCCACCCATTCTCCCTCCAACATCTAGTTGGAAAGTGGACTTGGCTCTCAACCTTATGACATAGGGAAAGCGGATTAGTAGGGTTACCGCACTGACAACGAATAATTTTTTAGTATAATTATGTCCCAAATATTACATGGGACAAGCTTGTGCTAAAAAATTATTTGTCATTGATTTGAAATTCAAATTTAACTGGGTGTCCTGTACGTTTGCTAAATCTGGCCACCCTACAAATCGGGCATCTCTAGGCTCTTCGGAGCTGCCACTGTGGTCACGTGGGTGCAGGTCTGGTTGTTTTGGGGGTGATGTTCCTTCACCCCCAGGAACATCATTCCGGGAATATGCTGCTATAGGCTCGTCAGGAATCAGGTCCAAAGGCTTCGGGTTTTTCTGTTTCTTCTGTTCCCTTCTCAGCGAATGCTCTATTCTGACCACACGGTGATGCTCTAATAGTTCATAAACTGTAGTTCCTTTTTCCCTTGTCAAGCAGGGACTGTCCACAACACTTGTTTCCTGGGTGCCAACTCAACATCAGCCACTGGGGCCTCGGGACAGGGTAGCTGGCTTGAGGGTCCTGGAGCCCCGGAGAGGAGAGAGAGCTTGGGTTTCAGAGCTCCCGCGGGGCAGCAAACCCTAGGATCCTGTAGGGGAGGGAAGCTGTTTTGAATTCATGAAAAACCCAAGTTATAGAAGGTTTACAGTTCTACGGCTTTCAAGAGCGAGTCCCAATTCAGACCGACAGGTGGTTTCCACAGAAGTCCTACATTGTGCTTTCGTCGTTAGATAAATGGATAAATCACCTCCTCTTAGTTCATTCACAAAGATATGATTAAAGTACTTAAAAATGACCGGCGTGGGCTTCCCTGGTGGCGCAGTGGTTGAGAGTCTGCCTGCCGATGCAGGGGACACGGGTTCCTGCCCCCATCTGGGAAGATCCCACGTGCCGCGGAGCGGCTGGGCCCGTGAGCCATGGCCGCTGAGCCTGCGCGTCCGGAGCCTGTGCTCCGCAGCGGGAGAGGCCACAACAGTGAGAGGCCCGCGTACCGCCAAAAAAA